GACGGACGGACGGACAGACAGTCACCGCTTAATCGATTTCTCTTTTCATTCTGATCATTTATGTATACATTTGTCTATATCTATCTCGATTCGTTTTGCCTGTTACAAACAACCGTTATGTGAACAAAGTTATAATACCCTTGTGCACAAGTGCGCTCGGGTATAATAAAATTGCCCCCCGACCCACCCCAACCTTTTTAAATTTTTTTTAGTCAGAGGCAAAGTTTTTAAAAAAATATTTATTTTTCTTGAATTTTTTTTTTATAATACATCGAAAAGCAAGCTAAAAATCTGAAGGAAACTGTATACAGTGAAATATCAGTGAAAATCAGTCACAATATTTTGCTGAAAATGGTAAACAGGAAGGTCTGCAACTCCGCAACGGACACTGCATTAACTATGCGATGTTATGTATATATGCGGCCAGACATCAAATGATTTTAACAAACTAGAGAAAGGTGCCGTTAAAAAAAAGTCCTAAAGTTTGGGCTCTCAGTACTCCATCCCAGAATACGCTTTTTTGAGACACTGCTGCATTTAGCATATAAACAAACCCCTCCAGAAGTGGCAAGCCCGTACACCGGAAGAGAAAAGATTGTTAAAGAAACAAAAGAGAAATTACAGAAATCTTTCAGAGAAAAAATGGGTCTACTTGTTGATGTTCCTAAAGCTGGCATTGGAAATAGCAATGAAATGCAGAATGCTCTTCTCGCATTACCGGCATCAACTTGGAATTAATCAATAGGTTTAAAGTGATTCTTGAGGTAATCTCAAGTAGCCATGAGGTTGATCACCAAAAATTGTATTTATATTATGCCCAAGCCACTGCCAAACTGTATGTGGAGTTGTACGGCTGGCATCCAATGTCGCCTACAGTCCACAAAATTCTGATGCACGGAGCGGAAGTAATGGCAGAAGCAATTCTGGCAATTGGACAATTGTCCGAGGAAGCCGCTGAGGCGCGAAATAAGTATATTCGCAAATATTGGGTAGACTTTGCAAGAAAATTTTCGAGGACTGAGTGCAACAGAGACATTTTAAATAGATTACTTTTAGAATCCAATCCTCTCTCAGCTCGAGTCGGCCAAAGAATAAAAAGAAAATCTTGCCATTTTCCGCCGAGGCAAAACCATTTTGATTGCAGCAACGAGCTTAAATAGGTCGGACGACAATACTGTTGAAGATATTGATGATGATGAAGAGGATTCGGATGTTAACAGTGAATTGGATGGCAACAGCGAATCGGATGGCACTGACTCCGAATAAAATAAAATTTTCTAAAATTTTGACTTTAAAATATTTTTTTCTGTTTTTTTTTATGTATTTTTATAAATAA